CCGACAGACTGCCCCCCCCCCGCACCCCCCCCAGACTGACTCACTCACACCAGTGTGTGTTCATTTGAGTGAGTGAGAGAGAGAGGGGGAGAGAGAGGTAAAACTTACACACACATCACCAAAAGCAGGATAAAAAATAAAAAGAATAAATTAATAAAAATATATTTAAAAAGGAGGAGAAACTGATCCTGGATCAGATGGTGTTTTTGTGAAGCTCCCAAATGTTCTTAAAGTAAAAGATTCAGCCATTAATGTTTAGAACGTGTGTGTGAGACAAGTCTAATTAAATTAAAATGTTATTTAAAGTGAAAATAAAACATTAACTTCTCTAGTTTAAAAATTAAAGTTGTTTTTTTGTTATCGTTATCGATTTTGGCCGATGTTTATGTTGAGGTTAAACAGATCCGACCAAGAGAGTGGAGTGAAGTGTGTGTGTGTGTGTGTGTGTGTGTGTGTGTGAGTGTGGAACTCACCTGACGGCGGTGCTCAAGCTCTGGTACCAGTCGTTCAGGTCCTCCTGGTTGTTGGACATCAGCAGCAGTTTGGCTTTGGGGAAACTCAGCTGGAGACAGAGACAGAACTCAGATCAGTTTTCTTCTCAGCGCCCTCTAGTTGTCACCTCAGCAACTGCGCTGACATCTGACCAACAGACGACCTAAAAAAACCTGGTCTGTGTGGAAGAAGCTGGACTTCACATGGGAAAACCTCTGCAAACGCCACACAGAAAGAGCGGGAATTGAACCTCTGTCCAACCTGCTGTAAGGCAAGAACACAAACCACTTTGTCACCGTGTGGCCCCGGCTCTTCTGGATCTGTAACTTTAACTGAGTACGAGGCCTAAATTCCAGCGAGGCTGTGAAAACCTCTCAGAGCAGGCGAGTCCAAAGTCTGGCCCGGGGGCCAATCACGGGACTCTGACAGGTTTGATGAGAGAATTGACTTCTTTCTTAGCATCCATTATTAATGTGCTGCCAACACAATCAAACAGAATAAATACATGACACACGCCCGAGCTGCAAATCACCGCGTTTTTTTTCCAGCGGCGTCTGCTGAAGGCGATGTTGTTTGGTTTCCCAGAATGCAGCTGGAAACACACGTTTCCCTCCCCTCGTCCTCCCCCACACCACCAACAACAACAACAACGTCCTCGTAGGCTACAGTGAGTGACGGTGACATCACCGTCCTGTGGTGATGTCACAGAGGTCAAAGTTCAGTCAGAGTTCTGTTTCTGCTCTGATTCATAACTTTGTTAAAAACAAATCAGTCTGAGAAATAAATCATATAATAAAATCATATAATAAAATCATATAATAACTCTGGCCTACAGCGAAAAACTCACCGATCTTGTTTAAAATATTTAAATGAAATATTGACAAAATTTAAAGTATCGTATACCAATATTTCACAGAAGTAATAGAAGTACTGTATTCCACAGTGCAACGTTTTTCTTTTTAAAAAAAAATCAACTTCCAACTGTTAATTAAGGAAATGAAGCCAAACAAACTTTAAATAATACTTACATTTTACTTTACTGTACAAAATTCATAAATATATATACTGTATATCCATAGAGCACCAGCCACACAACTTAAATTTACACACACATATATTAATAAATATATGTATCAATATATTTGCATATATACTCACATATACACGTATATTTACACATATGTAATATGTACTTTATACACACATATATAAATATATAAAAATATATATAATATATAGTTTTTAATTCGCCACTTGTTAATTAAGGAAATGAAGCCAAACAAACTTTAAATAATACTTACATTTTACTTTACTGTACAAAATTCATAAATATATATACTGTATATCCATAGAGCACCAGCCACACAACTTAAATTTACACACACATATATTAATAAATATATGTATCAATATATTTGCATATATACTCACATATACACGTATATTTACACATATGTAATATGTACTTTATACACACATATATAAATATATAAAAATATATATAATATATAGTTTTTAATTCGCCACTTTTGCTGTAAATACTAATAAAGTCTGTTCGTAGTAAAGTTCGACTCCGACCTGAAACGTTTGTACGGAATCGTTAAATAAATCTCGGCAACGATTTTCCAAACAAACTCTGACGTCATGACCCCTCCGG